GAACAAGAGTTGAGAAATAGCTGTTTTACGAGTGATGCAGAACATCATTGAATGAACATATGCAATCCATATGAAATATATTTTTTATATTTGATATCTTTACATAGTATTCATTGCATGGAGACTTCAGTCTATCTTTAATTGATAATTTTTATTAGATTCACTTTGTTTATCTATCACATATAATTTATGACATAATTATGATAAAAAACATTTGGTTCTGTGTTATACTTTGTGTAATGCACATCATAAATAATGAGTAAATATATGTCTTAACGCATAATACATGAATTGTTAGACCGAAAGTTCTAACAGTTAAAATATTTATGTAGGTTAATTCCCATAAAATATAAATACTCCACATTGCATTTGATTTGAAGATGAAACAAATGAGTAGACTTTACTTTACCCAATGTACGAATGAATAGTCATAGTTGTTTGATTGATCGTTATGACAAGATATGCGGACGAGTTAATCTTATAAAGACTCCTGACATAAAGACTCCCAAAATAAAACCCTATAATGATGACAAAATTAGTTTCGACCAATAGGTCGAATATTTATTAGATGAAATTTGTATCCATCAATTAACATGAATAAAGCTCGTCCATTGAATTTCTCTATGATTATTCGAACTTTGCATATAAATAAATAAAATTGTGCTTTCGAGAAGATGATGATGAAAAAGTTGTGGGATACTGCTAGCAAGTGATTTTCCAGTCTTCACGTTCGTCACGTTTCGACTGCGGGGGCGTGTTAGAAAATTTTATATTATAGAACTCTCATAATATTATGATTCTAGTATGATTGAGTTACCTAGATTAGTTAGGATTTAGTTACCTAGTCAAACTCTATTACCTTGCAATATTTCTTTATATATATTCCATGTAATCAACCCATAAGACAACGGGGGTTTCTTTCTATCACGTATTATTGTTTCTCTCTTATTCTATTCTTCCTATATGGTATCAGAGCACCAGGTTTTTTAACCTAGCCGTGTTTCTTCTCAATGGCGGTGACCACCCAATTTCCTCCCTCCCCTGGTGGTGGTACTTTTAATATCTCTCCCTCCCCCGGTGGTGCATCTTCTTTATCTTTTCTTCTTCTTCTTCTCCATGGCTTAAAACCTAGCCGCCGCCGCCTCTCTTCTTCTCCATGGCCAGCGACCACCACCCCAATTTCTTCCCTCCCCCGGTGGTGGTAACTTTTTTTTTTCTTTCTTCCGACATCCTCTTCTTCTTAGTCGGTCTTCCGCCATATCTTCTCTCTCTCGACCAAAAAAAAAAAAAAATAAATAAATAATTCTCCATGTTATTTTCTTCGTTCTATGAATTTGGCAGATATTTTCGCCAAGGACTCGATTTCGCGGGTTTTCTTTCCAGTCTTCACTTTTCGAGTTTTTTTCGTTCCGACTGCGGGAGCTCACGTTTCGACTGCGGGGGCGTGTTAGAGAATTTTATATTATAGAAATCTCCTAATATTATGATTCTAGTATGATTGAGTTACCTAGATTAGTTAGGATTTAGTTACCTAGTCAAACTCTATTACCTTGCAATATTTCTCTATATATATTCTATGTAATCAACCCATAAGACAACGGGGGTTTCTTTCTATCACGTATTATTATTTCTCTCTTATTCTATTCTTCCTATAGATACAACTAAACACCATTCCAAGCTTGGAATGATGATGATGCTACTATATTATGGTGAAGAAAGACGATATCTTTATATATAAAAGAAAGGTTTTGCCCCGAAACCTTAGACCAATTTTTGTTCCAATGGTCTCTGGTGGTGGCGGGTCAAAATTGGTGTCAAAATTAGAATAGGGATCAAAATTGGTTAATTGGTGAATTTTGGCTAAATTGAGGTGTAAATTATGAAATTGAAGTTGAATTAGGTTTCAAGGAATTCGGGATAATTTTGGTATATATAAAAGGATTTTCCTTATTTGCAAATAAATTTGAATGAAGTGAAAATATTTGAAAGACAAAAAAGTTCGATGTGGCTCTTTTAATTAAGTGCCCTTGTCATGGGCCTCTTTGACATTAACCCATAAAACATTTGTCACCCTCAAATCGAATCCTCTCGACCTAATGCCTCTCTCTCTCCCCTATCTGATTGACTTTCGACAAAAAGCCACTGGAATTCAACGTGAACCCATGCCCGTCGCCGGAATCTGACGTCACCTTATTTTATAAACGGTAGAATTGCGAGGAGCGTACAGAACTGCGTGGAAACCGTAAGTTGTTTCCCCGACTACGATTTGTTACAGCTGAAAGCAGAGTTCAACCATCTACAGTTCAGGTGTGTGTGTATGTGTGTATCCATACTGAGAGAATTATTTCGTGCAAATTAATTATAAATTTGTGTCCGATAAATTCCAGATTCAGTTTTAGCTACTGTTCTACTGTTTTACGAAGAGTTGCAACAGTTAATGGAACAGTAATAAAAAGACACAAATTTTAAAGTGGTTCGGATACAATTGTACCGTACATCCACGGGGACCTGCAAACGAAATTCACTAATTTTTAGTTTTACGAATACAATAATAGGACTTAATCGAAAATGCAAAGACTCCCTCTTTGTCGACGCCGTTCTTGTATCCTACGCTGAATTGTCAATCTTCACTTTGCACCACGTCCCTTTCCGCACGGTTGAAATTCCTTCAACGCTGAGTCCCTCAGTCGGCGGATCGACCTCCTCCCGAGATCTTCTGAATTCTCCTCCCGAAGAACCGATCTTCTTTTCGGTGAAAGAAGCAAACCCTTTCTCTGTATTTTCTTCTCGGATTAAGATCAAAGGTCTGGGGCAGCAACGTAAGAGCAGAAAGGATTTTTTCTCTCAAAATAAAAGGGACGACCTAAAACAACGTTGATGCTCCCCTTCTTATACTTCCTTAGGTGAATTAGTAGAGCCCTACACAAAAGTGGAGCCCATTAGGTTATTTTATCTCACGTAAGAAAAAGAGAGTTGTGTAACAAAGGAAATCCTTTTCCAAATAAAATTCCTTGTTAAACAAAAACACTTAGGCAATTAAATAAATTAATGACAAAATAAGAGTTAAAAGAACTAAGGAAACTTCCCTAGCTGTAAACACGTTTTTCACACTCGTGTTGAAAAACCGAAATTAGAATCCTCCCGGATTCTAACAATCTCCCCCTTTGTCATCTATTTATTATAATCAAGTCCTCCCCCTTGATCAAATACCTGACAAAACATTAGACTGCATAATAGAGTAACTGTTAGACTAGTTAAAGAAAACAGCAGTTAACAAAACAAGAAAAAAGTTAAGCCTAGCAGACTATTAGAGGCCGTTGTTCAGAAAATGAATTCGACAACCACAAAAAAACTAATCCAGAATATATTCAACATCAACGAACAACTCCTCGTCATCATTCGTATCAACTTCAGCAGTTGTACCATCAACTGTTGGAACAGTTGGAGCAACAACAGTTGGATCAGTAGTAGTTCCAGCAGCTGCATCAGCTCCCCCTGTATGCGGTTCCTCCTGGGTTGATGCTTCGTTGTCAACTCCCCCTCAAGAATAATCTCCCCCTTTCTGAGCAAGGGCAGTAAAATAGTCGAGTTTCTTCTTCGTAAAAACGACTTCGACAATCAGAGACCCCACTAGGTAGGTTGGCATAAAAATCATGAACCACTTGACAGACGCCACCGGGTTTGATGCGCTCGGAGAAAGAACCGAGAATTAAAAGCATCGACAGCAGAGATAGGCACCACGGGATCCGGTGCAGAGTGACCTGCGGTGGTGCGAGTAGCGGAAGGCGAGGCAGAGTGAGTAACGCGTCGACGAGAGCGGCGAGGTGGCGGGGTGCAGGTGAGGCCGGTTTGGGTGGTGCGATGGCGGTGCACACGGTGACGGTGGAGAATAGATGAACGGTGACGGCGGTGAGACTGGCGGCGACAGCTGTGGAGAAAACCTAGGGACCAAAATGAGTGGCAGATTGCCAAAATTGTCGACGGAGGCGGCCGTGAGGACCGTCGTTTGGACGACGAGGATGAACCACCGATGTTTTTTTTTTTTTTTTTTCTTTTGCCCATGACGATGTTGTTGATTCCCTTCGACTGTGTTGAATTTTTGGGGTTTTGCTGCAAAAGAAGAAGAAGAAGCAAACAGAGCAGTAGGGAAGAAGAAAAATTGGAGAGAAAAAAATGAATACGGGATTCTCCAAGGATGACTGTTGGTCTGCTCAGGGGTAGTTTAGCAATTAGGAATAGTCAAGTGAGAGAATTGCAAATATAATAATTATGCTCACAATAAATTCAATTAATGAAAATCAAATTCAGATACAGCAACTCTCAACTTTCGCATATGAAGCCCAACACAGTTCAAATAAACTTCGAGAAGAAAAAAAAATGCTCAGAACAGTGAGTTACTCCGAAGAAATATATTGCCGCCAAAAATTACGAACCCACCCCGGATTTTTTTTTTTTATTTTTTTTATTTTTTTATTTTTTTTTAATAAATAAATAAATGCCTAACATGCAGAGGCAAATAACTAAGACGAAAAATAAACGTGAGAAGAAAAAAAATGAGTGAATAAACACAAGTGAATAGGATACTATTAGGACTATCAAACCATGGGGTTTATCTTCAATTTTAACAAAAAGCAAGCTCCAAGAGATAGACTAAGGAGACTAACAGCAAATTTAGTATCCTCAAATCAAGCACAAAAACACTCTTATTAGGCAGCATACACACACTACCAAAGGTAGCTTTTTCATGAAGAGCAGAGCAATTAAAATAGCGAGATAGTTATGATCGTGCAATGTGTAGTCCCCTGGGCTTTCTAATTGAGTCGTGTAGTGAGTGTTCGGTCATGTGGTTTACCGGCTCGACTCAAAAAGGCTTCGAACTATTCACTGACCGCATATAAAATTTATAATGGTCGTGCAATGTGTAGTCCCTTGGGCTTTCTAATTGAGCCTTGTAGCGAGCTTTCGGCCACGTGATTTACTGACTCAACTCAAAAAGGCTTCGAACTATTCACAGACCAACTGATTGACATTTTATATATAGAATTAACGAAAATTCAAGAGTAGCTTTCACTCATTTGGAGCGGCAGCTTTTCCTTATGAGTGTGTTCAACCATGACAAGACTGTGAAGGGTAGTAAATAAGCTAAAGCCTCTGTAGCTATCATTTGGGGATTGATGAAGTTCTACCTCACAAGATTCGAAAGTACAGATAGTATCCAATACACAAGGGGTCTCATCACATGCAATATGTCTAATGCATAACCTAGATGAACAAAATGCAGTATGCGTGATGTGTCCATAAAACTTTAAAAGTTGCAAGTCTGGACACAGACTGTTGCAACAGTTTATGCAACTGCACAGGTCAGACAATACAAATTCCAAGCGAATTTCGCAAGGAATCAAACCTTTGTGCATCTAGGGGTTTAGTAAAGATGTCAGCAAGTTGTTTCTCCGTTGTGACATACTCTAATGAGACAGTTCCTTCCTCTACAAGATTTCTAATGAAATGGTAGCGAATTTCAATATGCTTAGTTCGAGAGTGCTGTACTGGATTCTTGGAAATATTAATTGCACTCATATTGTCACAATAAATATGCAATAAATCTTGACTAATACCATAATCACATACCATTTGTTTCATCCATAAGAGTTGAGCACAACAACTACCTGCAGCGATATATTCGGATTCGGCAGTGGAAAGTGAGATGCTATTCTGCTTTTTGCTGTACCAAGAGACGAGATTATTCCCAAGATAGAAACATCCTCCCGTCGTGCTTTTTCGATCGTCTGCATCACTTGCCCAATCAGCATCGCTAAAACCTGCAAGTGTTGTGTTAGTATCCATGGAATACCAAATACCGAAATCAGTTGTTCCACTTACGTAGCGAATGATTCGTTTGACAGCACTCAGGTGGCATTCCTTGGGATTGGATTGATACCTGGCACAAACTCCAACACTATAGCATATATCTGGTCGGCTAGAAGTAAGATACAAAAGACTACCTATCATGCTTCGATATAGTGTGGGATCTACAGCTGTTGCATCCAACTGTCGCGACAGTTTGTCGTTTGTTCCCATAGGAGTTCTAACAGTTTTTGCAGATTCCAAACCAAAACATTTGACAAGGTTTTTTGCATACTTGGATTGAGTTATGAAAATTCCATCACTCATTTGTTTAACTTGAAGACCTAAAAAATACGTGAGTTCCCCAACCATGCTCATTTCAAATTCACTAGACATTTGTTTAACAAACTCTTCAATTTTTGTTTGAGAGGTAGATCCAAAAACGATATCGTCTACATAAATTTGAGCAATCAGGATGTCTCCCTTTGATTTTTTAAAGAAAAGAGTTCGATCAACGCTACCCCTAGTGTATCCCTTGTGCGATAAAAATTCCGTAAGACGCTCATACCAAGCTCGAGGCGCTTGTTTGAGACCATACAGGGCTTTGTTTAATTTGAAAACATGCTTGGGATGATGTGGATCTTGAAATCCTTTGGGTTGTTCAACATAAACCTCTTCTTTTAAAATACCATTTAAGAAAGCGCTTTTGACATCCATTTGAAAAAGTTTGATTTTTAGAAAACAAGCAATGGCTAGGAGTAATCGAACAGATTCTAGTCTAGCAACAGGAGCGAAAGTTTCATCGAAGTCAATGCCTTCGATTTGACTATAGCCTTGTGCAACTAATCTAGCTTTGTTACGAACGATATTTCCATGTTCATCAGACTTATTTTTAAAGACCCATTTTGTACCTATTATATTGACATTATCAGGCCTAGGAACCAAAACCCAAACGTCATTTCGAACGAATTGTTCCAGTTCCTCATGCATGGCTTGAACCCAATATTCATCTAATAAGGCTTCTTTGACGTTTTTGGGTTCTATAGTCGAAGTGAAACAAACATACCTTGCCATTTCCTTGTAATTCACCTTGGGTTTACCTCGGGTTTGAATTCCTTCTTCTACCGGTCCAATGACTTTATCCACTGGATGATTCTTCTTGACTCTTCTTGAGGGTTCCTTGTGAGTTTGATCATCCAATTCGAGAGGCCTGACTTCAGCTTCATCTCCTGTTTCAGAATTGACGTCACTTTCTTCTGAAATGGTAGAGGCTGCATCAACTGTTGGAACTGTTGGTGCGACACTGGAGCTGTTTTCCGATTCCTTTGTTGATTCCTCTTCCAATGGTCCTGCATCATTATTAAAATCATCAAATTGAACATATGCAGATTCCATCACAGATTTTGTTCTAAGATTAAATATTCTATACGCATGGCTATTTCGAGAGTAGCCTAAGAATATTCCTTGATCACTTCTAGCATCGAATTTCCCAAGCTGTTCTCTGTCATTCAAAATATAACAAGTACAGCCAAAAGTACGAAGATAGTTGAGTTGGGGTTTTTTACCTTTCCAAATTTCGTAGGGAGTTTTAGTGGTACCTGGTCGAAGATAGACTCGATTTATAATATGACATGCAGTGTTAACTGCTTCAGCCCAAAAACGAGGAGCGATCTCCTTTGCGTTCATCATGACCCTGGCCATCTCTTGCAGAGTGCGATTTTTGCGTTCAACCACTCCATTTTGTTGAGGTGTTTTAGGTGCGGAGAATTCATGAGATATTCCATATTTTTCACAAAAGTTAGTAAATAAGGAATTTTCAAATTCTCTCCCATGATCGCTCCTAATTCTCACGATGTCACGCTGTTTCTCAACACTCACCTTTTTGCACAATTTTTTAAACACATCAAAAGAATCGGATTTTTCCCTAATAAATTCTACCCAAGTAAATCTAGAAAAATCATCTACACACACAAATATGTACCGTTTTCCACCTATACTTTCTACTTGCATTGGTCCCATAAGGTCCATGTGTAGAAGTTCTAGGTTTCCACTGGTTCTCACATTAGCTAAAGCCCTGTGTGAACTTTTGATTTGTTTACCCATTTTGCAATCACCACAGATTTTTCCTACTTCTTTAGTGAGTTTGGGCAGCCCTCTAACATACTCACTGCTGGAAATTTTTATGAGATTATCAAAGTTCAGATGTCCTAACCTTTTGTGCCAAAGCACTGTAGAGTCTGACAGACTGTTGAAACAGTTCATACCAGCAGAGACAAGAATATAGCAGTTGTCAGATGATCGAGTTCCTTGAATAACACAATTCTCGTCTTTGTCTAAGACTCGACATGCGAATTTGTTGAATCTGACTTCAAGATCTTGATCACATAACTGGCTGATGCTTATCAGATTTGACGTGAGTCCTTCTACAAGTAGTACATTCTTCAGCTTTGGCAGATTCTCATGATTTAGCGATCCTTTCCCTAGCACTTCACCCTTTTTTCCGTTTCCAAAGGTAACAGCTACACCGGTGATTTGTTGATAGTTTTTCAGAAACTCTTTAACACCGGTCATATGTCGTGAACAGCCACTGTCAAAATACCAATCATTAGCAGTACTTGTTTTTAAAGAGGTAATCGCAGATAAACATTTAAACGTGGACTTTTCAACCCAAATTTTTTGCTGAGGTCTATTTGAAATATCAATTTTGTTTTTGGGTTTTTGAGAGGGTGAAGGAAAATAACCAGCCCTAGCAGAGTAAAGAGAACGAGCCACAAGCTTTTTCACAAGTTTTAAATATTTGAAACATCTAGGACGTATGTGACCTGGATTTTGACAGAAAAAACAAGTAGGAATAAACCTTTTCTTTGAATTGTGTTTTGTTGCTTCAACAGTTGCAACTGTTTGTGTGACAGAAGCTTGTTTAACAAAGTTGATTTTTCTGTTTTGATCTTCCTTTCGCTTTAGATCAACTTTGGGTAGCTGACTCCCTCCTATGCCTAGACGATTATAGTTTGGCTTGTTGTTGCTTAAGATTTCATCTAGATTACCTCTACCCAAGTTCAATTTTGCAATTGCTTCTTGAGTTTGAGTAAGTTTAGCCTGCAAACTATTTTTCTCTTGATCACTAGATATGACCCTTTCCTCAAGAGTAGAGATTCTTACCTTTAGTGTCTTGTTTTCCTCTACAAGCACAAACTTCTCCTTTTCCAGGAAGTTATTTACCTTAACGACGTCGAGCCATTTTTGGTACATTTTTTCATATACCTCCTTTACTTCGTCCAAGGTTGGTTCTTCCTCATCACTGTTGTTGTTCGGATCCTCTGCAAAAGAAGAATTTTCGTTTAGATTTTTGTCATAATCATAACACATATTTTCATACCTGGATTTTGTTTCACAGTCTGTTGCAACAGTTGAAGCAACAGTTGATTCTGAGTTGTCCAGAGGAACTTTGCTGCTGAATGCTACAAAGTTAGTGACTTGATCGTTGTTTCCTTGGTCATCATCAGATTCTTCTTCATCGCTCCAAACAGTAGTAAGTGACATTTTCTTCTTTTTCTTCAGGGTGTTTGCGCATTCTGATTGAATGTGACCAAAGCCTTCGCATTCTCGGCATTGTATTCTTCTTGGTTTTGACTCCTCTGAGTTATCTTGATTTGAATTTCTCCTAGAATTTTGAAAGTTCACGGGTTTCCCTGTGCTTGGAAGATTTCCCCTTTTTCCGATCTTTTTGAGAAATTTCCCAAAATTTTTCGATAGTAGTGCCAAGGATTCTTCAACTGTTTGCTCATCTTCTTGAGTTGACGAATTTTGGGGCGTTGCATATGATGTTTCTTCTTGAAAGGCTATCTTCTTTTCTCTAGACTTTTCACGATGATTTTCACCATGATTGAGTTCTTGTGCTAGAAGTTTCCCCATGAGTTCGTCTAGTTTGAGCGTGTCAACGTCTCTGACTTCTTCAATGGCAGCAATTCGGTAAGCGAATCTTTCAGGTAATGAGCGCATCGCTTTTCTCACTAATTTGCTTTCTGAGTAAGGTTCACCGAGTGCGTATGATTCATTGGAGATATCACATAATTTAGCATGGAAGTCAGTGATCGTCTCATTCTCCTCCATCTTCAAATTTTCGAATTTGGTGGCCAGCATCTGTAACTTGGATGTCCTAACAGTTGACGTTCCTTCGTATGTGACTTGAAGAATTTCCCAAGCTCTCTTTGCAGATTCACATGACGCTATTAGTTTAAATTGATTATCATCAACAGCACTAAATATTGCGTTTAGGGCCCTTGAGTTGTAGTTTGCGAGTAGTATTTCTCCATCACTCCAATCTGCTTCTGGTTTGAATACTTCCGCTTTGTCTTCTCCTTTGATCATGGGAGGTGTCCAACCAGTTATGATGGCGCGCCATGCTCTCTCATCTATGGATTTGATAAACATCTTCATTTTTGATTTCCAGTATGAGTAGTTGGGGCCGATTAGAAGAGGTGGGCGAGTAGTTGAAGATCCTTCTCGTTGAGTATTCATATCTGCACAAAATAAGAGTAATCAGTTCCCAAAATCTCACTAGATATATTTAGTGACAGGCTCTTGATGCCAATTGAGAGAATTATTTCGTGCAAATTAATTATAAATTTGTGTCCGATAAATTCGAGATTCAGTTTTAGCTACTGTTCTACTGTTTTACGAAGAGTTGCAACAGTTAATGGAACAGTAATAAAAAGACACAAATTTTAAAGTGGTTCGGATACAATTGTACCCTACATCCACGGGGACCTGCAAACGAAATTCACTAATTTTTAGTTTTACGAATACAGTAATAGGACTTAATCGAAAATGCAAAGACTCCCTCTTTGTCGACGCCGTTCTTGTATCCTACGCTGAATTGTCAATCTTCACTTTGCACCACGTCCCTTTCCGCACGGTTGAAATTCCTTCAACGCTGAGTCCCTCAGTCGGCGGATCGACCTCCTCCCGAGATCTTCTGAATTCTCCTCCCGAAGAACCGATCTTCTTTTCGGTGAAAGAAGCAAACCCTTTCTCTGTATTTTCTTCTCGGATTAAGATCAAGGGTCTGGGGCAGCAACGTAAGAGCAGAAAGGATTTTTTCTCTCAAAATAAAAGGGACGACCTAAAACAACGTTGATGCTCCCCTTCTTATACTTCCTTAGGTGAATTAGTAGAGCCCTACACAAAAGTGGAGCCCATTAGGTTATTTTATCTCACGTAAGAAAAAGAGAGTTGTGTAACAAAGGAAATCCTTTTCCAAATAAAATTCCTTGTTAAACAAAAACACTTAGGCAATTAAATAAATTAATGACAAAATAAGAGTTAAAAGAACTAAGGAAACTTCCCTAGCTGTAAACACGTTTTTCACACTCGTGTTGAAAAACCGAAATTAGAATCCTCCCGGATTCTAACAATCTCCCCCTTTGTCATCTATTTATTATAATCAAGTCCTCCCCCTTGATCAAATACCTGACAAAACATTAGACTGCATAATAGAGTAACTGTTAGAACAGTTAAAGAAAACAGCAGTTAACAAAACAAGAAAAAAGTTAAGCCTAGCAGACTATTAGAGGCCGTTGTTCAGAAAATGAATTCGACAACCACAAAAAAACTAATCCAGAATATATTCAACATCAACGAACAACTCCTCGTCATCATTCGTATCAACTTCAGCAGTTGTACCATCAACTGTTGGAACAGTTGGAGCAACAACAGTTGGATCAGTAGTAGTTCCAGCAGCTGCATCAGCTCCCCCTGTATGCGGTTCCTCCTGGGTTGATGCTTCGTTGTCAACTCCCCCTCAAGAATAATCTCCCCCTTTCTGAGCAAGGGCAGTAAAATAGTCGAGTTTCTTCTTCGTAAAAACGACTTCGACAATCAGAGACCCCACTAGGTAGGTTGGCATAAAAATCATGAACCACTTGACAGACGCCACCGGGTTTGATGCGCTCGGAGAAAGAACCGAGAATTAAAAGCATCGACAGCAGAGATAGGCACCACGGGATCCGGTGCAGAGTGACCTGCGGTGGTGCGAGTAGCGGAAGGCGAGGCAGAGTGAGTAACGCGTCGACGAGAGCGGCGAGGTGGCGGGGTGCAGGTGAGGCCGGTTTGGGTGGTGCGATGGCGGTGCACACGGTGGTGGTGACGATTGGGCAGCTGGCGAGTGTGGCAGTGGAGGAGATGGTGGAGAATAGATGAACGGTGACGGCGGTGAGACTGGCGGCGACAGCTGTGGAGAAAACCTAGGGACCAAAATGAGTGGCAGATTGCCAAAATTGTCGACGGAGGCGGCCGTGAGGACCGTCGTTTGGACGACGAGGATTAACCACCGATGTTTTTTTTTTTTTTTTTTCTTTTGCCCATGACGATGTTGTTGATTCCCTTCGACTGTGTTGAATTTTTGGGGTTTTGCTGCAAAAGAAGAAGAAGAAGCAAACAGAGCAGTAGGGAAGAAGAAAAATTGGAGAGAAAAAAATGAATACGGGATTCTCCAAGGATGACTGTTGGTCTGCTCAGGGATAGTTTAGCAATTAGGAATAGTCAAGTGAGAGAATTGCAAATATAATAATTATGCTCACAATAAATTCAATTAATGAAAATCAAATTCAGATACAGCAACTCTCAACTTTCGCATATGAAGCCCAACACAGTTCAAATAAACTTCGAGAAGAAAAAAAAATGCTCAGAACAGTGAGTTACTCCGAAGAAATATATTGCCGCCAAAAATTACGAACCCACCCCGGATTTTTTTTTTTATTTTTTTTATTTTTTTATTTTTTTTTAATAAATAAATAAATGCCTAACATGCAGAGGCAAATAACTAAGACGAAAAATAAACGTGAGAAGAAAAAAAATGAGTGAATAAACACAAGTGAATAGGATACTATTAGGACTATCAAACCATGGGGTTTATCTTCAATTTTAACAAAAAGCAAGCTCCAAGAGATAGACTAAGGAGACTAACAGCAAATTTAGTATCCTCAAATCAAGCACAAAAACACTCTTATTAGGCAGCATACACACACTACCAAAGGTAGCTTTTTCATGAAGAGCAGAGCAATTAAAATAGCGAGATAGTTATGATCGTGCAATGTGTAGTCCCCTGGGCTTTCTAATTGAGTCGTGTAGTGAGTGTTCGGTCATGTGGTTTACCGGCTCGACTCAAAAAGGCTTCGAACTATTCACTGACCGCATATAAAATTTATAATGGTCGTGCAATGTGTAGTCCCTTGGGCTTTCTAATTGAGCCTTGTAGCGAGCTTTCGGCCACGTGATTTACTGACTCAACTCAAAAAGGCTTCGAACTATTCACAGACCAACTGATTGACATTTTATATATAGAATTAACGAAAATTCAAGAGTAGCTTTCACTCATTTGGAGCGGCAGCTTTTCCTTATGAGTGTGTTCAACCATGACAAGACTGTGAAGGGTAGTAAATAAGCTAAAGCCTCTGTAGCTATCATTTGGGGATTGATGAAGTTCTACCTCACAAGATTCGAAAGTACAGATAGTATCCAATACACAAGGGGTCTCATCACATGCAATATGTCTAATGCATAACCTAGATGAACAAAATGCAGTATGCGTGATGTGTCCATAAAACTTTAAAAGTTGCAAGTCTGGACACAGACTGTTGCAACAGTTTATGCAACTGCACAGGTCAGACAATACAAATTCCAAGCGAATTTCGCAAGGAATCAAACCTTTGTGCATCTAGGGGTTTAGTAAAGATGTCAGCAAGTTGTTTCTCCGTTGTGACATACTCTAATGAGACAGTTCCTTCCTCTACAAGATTTCTAATGAAATGGTAGCGAATTTCAATATGCTTAGTTCGAGAGTGCTGTACTGGATTCTTGGAAATATTAATTGCACTCATATTGTCACAATAAATATGCAATAAATCTTGACTAATACCATAATCACATACCATTTGTTTCATCCATAAGAGTTGAGCACAACAACTACCTGCAGCGATATATTCGGATTCGGCAGTGGAAAGTGAGATGCTATTCTGCTTTTTGCTGTACCAAGAGACGAGATTATTCCCAAGATAGAAACATCCTCCCGTCGTGCTTTTTCGATCGTCTGCATCACTTGCCCAATCAGCATCGCTAAAACCTGCAAGTGTTGTGTTAGTATCCATGGAATACCAAATACCGAAATCAGTTGTTCCACTTACGTAGCGAATGATTCGTTTGACAGCACTCAGGTGGCATTCCTTGGGATTGGATTGATACCTGGCACAAACTCCAACACTATAGCATATATCTTGTCGGCTAGAAGTAAGATACAAAAGACTACCTATCATGCTTCGATATAGTGTGGGATCTACAGCTGTTGCATCCAACTGTCGCGACAGTTTGTCGTTTGTTCCCATAGGAGTTCTAACAGTTTTTGCAGATTCCAAACCAAAACATTTGACAAGGTTTTTTGCATACTTGGATTGAGTTATGAAAATTCCATCACTCATTTGTTTAACTTGAAGACCTAAAAAATACGTGAGTTCCCCAACCATGCTCATTTCAAATTCACTAGACATTTGTTTAACAAACTCTTCAATTTTTGTTTGAGAGGTAGATCCAAAAACGATATCGTCTACATAAATTTGAGCAATCAGGATGTCTCCCTTTGATTTTTTAAAGAAAAGAGTTCGATCAACGCTACCCCTAGTGTATCCCTTGTGCGATAAAAATTCCGTAAGACGCTCATACCAAGCTCGAGGCGCTTGTTTGAGACCATACAGGGCTTTGTTTAATTTGAAAACATGCTTGGGATGATGTGGATCTTGAAATCCTTTGGGTTGTTCAACATAAACCTCTTCTTTTAAAATACCATTTAAGAAAGCGCTTTTGACATCCATTTGAAAAAGTTTGATTTTTAGAAAACAAGCAATGGCTAGGAGTAATCGAACAGATTCTAGTCTAGCAACAGGAGCGAAAGTTTCATCGAAGTCAATGCCTTCGATTTGACTATAGCCTTGAGCAACTAATCTA